TCAGTGCTAAAAGGTGCCATTTACTGCAAAGTGTCTTGGAGAGTGTATTAAAAAAGAGAGTGACAGAAAGCGAGTCATGGGTGACAGGAAGGATGGGCGAGTCAAAGAGATTGAAAGGAAAAGATAGGCAATGCCAGCTGTCACCGTTCCTGCTCTGCTCTCTGTTTGACACTCAGATGCATTAACACAAATAAAAGGCAAAGGGAATCCTTGCATCTCCATCCCTGTGTCATGCTCAGATCAAAGTGCAAATAGTGCCAGGTGAAATCCTTTTGCCAGCCCCTCTGAAGGTGGGGTGGAGGATGGGTGCAGGTTTCTGAGCTCCAGAGAACATCTGGGGTTCCAAGCCTTTGATGCCATGCAGCAGAATGCTTTTATTTCCAGCCTGGGTATCAGGCTCAAAGAGAGCAGACTACAGAAAAGCATTTCCCCTGCCTTCTCCTGTCAGTGTAGCTGGATACTGAGTTTTGTGCCCAAATTGGGCATCTCTTAAGAGATTATTTTCATTGGCAGTGTTGTCATCTTTGACTTCTCTACTTGGTGAAGTGTTAGACTGAAAATATATGGTTTATATCTGGTATTTTCCAGTAACAGCACAGGAAATTCTCTGTGCTGTGTATGGGTATGTTGTTTCCCATGCCAAAATTTTGTTTGTGATGTATGCCATTTATTGTTCACAGTCCAGACTAAATTATTCCTAGAAGGCAGTTTGGGTGTCCCAATCCATATGGACTGCTCTAAAAGAGTTAACAAGTATAAAAACAGACATTTGTTATGAGAGAAAATTATTCAAGAGTGATGATTTATCTGAAGTTAAGTTGGTCAGTACTGAGCTGAACCCAGGGGGCCAGTGAAACACCCAAACTGACTTTGGACAGGTTCAGGGATGTCTTAAATCCACCACTCTGCCAGGATATGGCTGGCATATCTCAGCCTATGGGAACTGAGTTAGAGCCCAGGCTGCCTGCAAATCCTACCTGTCCTCTGGCAAACAGCAACCAGAAAACATCAGATTAATGTTTGTTTCTTAATCTTAAGACTTAATTTTTGTTTCCTCCATTTATATTTTAAACCAGAAAAAATCAGATTAATCTTTCTTTCTTAATCTTAATCTTAAGACTTAATTTTTGTTTCCTCCATTTATATTTTTCCTCTCTGATCTAAACTGAATGTTTTGTGTCTCAATGGTGGAAGCAGCAGTTGTTGGAGACTGGAGCAAACTGATGCTTACGTTGTTTCTGTACTTGTGATCAACATTTAAGTTAAAACATGTGACACATTCTGAGAACAGGTACTGCTGGAAAAGGGGCTGGGACATCATCATTTCCCATAAAGATTCCCCAGTCCCCAACTTTATGGCCAGGGAATGCCAGACTTATGTCAGGTGCTGTGAACTGTAGGGATGGATATGCTTGAACCTTAACAGCCCAGAGAGGTGTCAAATCCTTTCTATTTATATATGGCCTTTCTCTGAGCAGGGGCTGGGACCAGAAACCCCCAGCGGTCTGCAAAGTCTGTGCACAAAGAGCATTCCATTTCTGTTGAACATTACACACTGATCTCATGGTGCATGTTTCTCCCTTTGATTTTCATCTCAGAAATATTTGCTGTCTGGAGCAGGGCAGAGTAATCTGCAAATTCTGCGGAAGCAGGACTGCAGCCAAGCAGAGGTGGCTGTTCTCCTGGAATGGCCTTTCCTATTTGAGTTTCAGTTTGGATCAGTTGTAAAATACCAGGCTGCTCCCTTGGAATTTGCTTGGGGGCTGATGGGACACACTCTGTTGTGAGATCTGCCTGCAGCCCCACCAGACCATCCCAAATATTATTCAGATACACTCCCATAAGTCAGAAACTTGAAGCAAGGTCTCTTATCTTAGGAAGCTTTGGTTTGGTGACTGGAGCCTGGAAACTCCCTTGGTTTGAAATTAGGTCAAGAGTTTCTAGGGGAAGGAGGAGAGTGAGTTGTTTCTGGGGGCACACAGCCCAGGACTGATGAGTGGTACAAAGAAGTGTTGCCAGTTTTTGCTGAAAGCAGATAATCATTGAGTTGCCCGAGGCCTGGAGCACAGGATAGCTCTGCACAGGATTTGGGAGCAGCATCCCAGTGGCAAGGCTGGAGTGTTTTACTCCTGCTCTGTGTTTGGTGCTTTTTGTGAAGGAGAGGAGGAGGGACCTGGGTTTATGCACTTGGAGCAGTATCAGAGTGGCCTCAAATGTGTGTATACATTCATGCTGCCAAAGTCTTGCCTTCAGCAGAGAAATCTTTCAGTCCTGTGAGTTTAGCAGGCTGCCTAAGAGCAAGGAGCAGCACTGATTGTGCAACCCTGTCAACATTTCTGTGTCTGGCCAGGAAAACCAGCTCTGCAGCAGCAAGGGGGCTGGACACAACAAGGCTTTGATTTCATTGCAGTTTAGGATGCAGCCAGAAAATATTATGTCCGTGCCATAAAGGAGGAGATATTTACCTTCAGGAGATTTTAGAAGCAAGGAATTGGAAAATGAAATTAATGAATAGAAAGCAATAACACAAGCCAATATTCACAGAAATGTTATTTACCACTCTTGGATCAGGGCTCATTTTACACAAATATTGGCTGTTATAACAGCTGATGTGTCACTGGTGTTTTGTACCAGGGGGCCTTGGAAAAAGGCTTTAGGAGACATTTTCTTGGATTTTATTCTTTCTCTGCATGGTTATGTTTTTCCTAAAATTCAATCATGTGGTGTACAGAATGAAATCTTGGGCATTTCTGAGGAGGGCTGCTCAGTTAAAGAAGTGAGGCTCCTTCTGGGGTGTGATGAGTTCCCCTGTCAATGGATGTGTGCACTCCACAGCTAATGGGTAAAACTCACATCAAAAGGAAGCTAGGATTGATTTTTATTTTTTTTTTAGTATACAAACTGAGACTTCTAAAGTAGGCTTATGTAGTGAGGTCTTTGAGCAACCAGCCACTCTCTGTCTATCTCAAAAAGGTAGAGATGATAATTCCAGTGAGACTTCTAGAATCAGAAATCCAAAATTCTAGAGCTTTGCAGTGAAGAAACACCTGCTGATTTTTTCAAAATAGTATTTAAAATGCAAAAACAACACCAAATCCCCCCCCGCCAAAAATCAACAAAGCAAATTGCATTTCACATACAAAACAAAATGTTCTACCTGGTAAAATCCAAACGTATTTCCTTCTCACAGTGTGATTCATGTCCTGACCACTAAGAGTTGTCTGAGGGTAATCTTGGAAGCCTACAAAATTAGGACCTCACATTGTAATTACCAGTCAATTTAAGCACACTTAAACATTTATATTAATTTTCAAGCCAACTAAATGGCACCACCGTTGTTTTCTTTGCCTTCTGTTTTAATGGAACAGTGGCCACAGGGTAAAACAGCTCATGGGGAAAAACAGTAAAGAAGTAAAGTGCAGACAGCAGTGGTGGAGAAGAGCCACGTGTAAGGTTCTGTGGTAGAAAAACAGTAAAGAAGTAAAGAAAAGTGCAGACAGCAGTGGTGGAGAAGAGCCACGTGTAAGGTTCTGTGGTAAGGGCTGCTACAAGACAGATATGTTTAGTACAGCACTAAGACAGAGGCTTGAAAAAGCACAATTATAGTGATCTTAGCTGGCAGCCACTGACTGGAAATGCTCTTGTCAGCAAAAATAGCAACACATTAATGGCAGTCCATTGTTGGTGACATCTTGGGACAGGGCTGTGCTAAGAGGGCCTGTTACTGTGTTGTTGTAGTTGCAGAGGAGGTATTTAAATATTAGAGTCACAGCCAAGAAGAGCTAAAGATAGGGCAGTGGCTTTGACCTTTTGTGCTGAGGGTGGAGCAGAGCCCACAGACGCATAATGCCATCCTGGAACAGTATTTTTTTAAAGCTTCTAATCTTCTAAACTTTTACTGGCAGAGGGGTACAGCCCTGCGTGCAGAAGTCAAGCCTATCGGCAAAAAACTTGCTTTTCTAAGACACACAGCTTGTTGTTGGGGGTGAGGCATTTGTCCTGGATGAATTTGAATTTTGAGTCCAGTCAGGAAGCCTGACTGGTGTGCATGTTTCTCCCAGTTAGCTCATACAGCTCATGTGACTTGTTTGGTTCATGTGGCCTCTTGTTATGTATCCATCATCCATTTTTCTTTCCTATTAGAGTGAAATTGGACACAGCCCTCCTCCTGCCTACACCCCTATGTCAGGAGTAAGTATTTCACATTTAGCCTTCATCTTTCAGGCTTTCCTTCTTTCTTCACTATTTCTTTTCTTTTTCAAACTCTTTTCTCCTGCATAAATGACTCAAAACGAGGTAATGAAGTGTATATATAAGGAATCAAACAGTTAAGATCTCCAGACTCAGCCTGGATTCATGTGCGAACTCTCAAGGACCCACACCCAAAACTCTGACAACTTTTCTTGAAAAAGGTGAAAGGTGAAAGGCTTGGATGGATCTGTAGATCTTTCCTTCCTTTCTGTAGGCCATGATGATGAAAGTTCCTTGCATGTCTGTGCTAACAAACAAAATGGTAGGTCGAGTTAAACCCTTGAGTTGAGGTACAAACACAGTTCAGCAGCCTGAAATGCACTTCCTGATGGAATTACACACGGTGTGGGTGACCCCGTGATTCCCACCACAGGACACACTCAAAGTATCACCCAGAATAAACAGAGATGATAGTGGTTTCTATCCCCAGTCAGAAAGAGATTTCCAAATATGAGGTTTAAAGGGCTTTGATCAGAAGTCAGGGGAGGTTGCCAGAGTACTAGAAGAGGAAGCACCACCTTCACCTCTTGCAGCTGTGAGTGTCCAGCCTCCACGTGCCTAGCAGGACACAAGTTTTCCTGCCCTATTTCTATCCCCACTGAGCACTGCAGGGCAGATGGATGCTTTGTGGGTCCACACCAAAGCCTGGAAGTTCAGGATGGGCAGGGCAGGCACAACCATTACGTGCTGTTGAAGCTTCTCCCCTCAGGAGCCTCCTTTCCCATGCTGTGTGTTCCTTCTTCCAACAGAACCAGTTTGTGTACCGGGACGGTGGCTACACTGCCGAGGTGCCAATGCCATACAGGGCTCCGGGCTGCATCATTCCCGAAGCCCCAGCTGCTCAAGGGGCCACAGCAGAGATCTTTGAAGACTCCTGCTGCAATGGCACGATGCAGAAACAGGTGGCAACCCTGGCAAAAGAGGACAGCAGCACCCAGAGGTACAGCGCTGACCCCACCGTCTTCATTCCCGAGCGGGTCGTGCGGGGAGAGCTGGATGAGGACGGGTACATGACACCGATGAGAGACAAAGCTAAAACAGGTAAATATTGCCTTTCCAGGAGGCTCCTGGTCTAGCCCGGCTGCATTTCTTCTCTTTTTACAGCAGCAGCTTTTCATCAAAAATGGCTTTATTTAGTTACCTATCAAGTTGAAGCATTCTGACTAGGATAATATTCCTTTACACGGGGATTTGGTTTTCTCTCCTTAATTTTCTACTTTGAAATGCTCAGATGTGCCAGTATGGCAAAGCTAGTAAGTCCCCCTTTTACTTTTTTTTTTTTTTTTTGAGAAATAACAAGAGAACTGAAGAAAAGCCAAGCCCCCTTCTTACCCAAACACAAATCTTCAGTTATTTCCAAGGAAAGGATCTATCTTCAGCCAGCCATAGTCCCAACTTTGCTTTGTTTATTGATCTTCTTATTCTTGGCATTGTGCTTGGTAAATGTCATATTGAACCTATCACAGAACTGATACACACAGCTGGCATTTTATACCCAAGAGAAGCCTAGGATTGAAAGAACAAGATGTGCTTTAAAGAGAGCATCACTGCAAGGGAAAGATTGCCTAAATCTGTGCCTGCTCATCATGCTGCACTTCCCAGTTTGCCCTCATTCATTTCTTCCTCTTTAAATAATGATAGCAGTCATTTAGATGTAAGGGGATGTGTCATTATTAATTTGCTTCCCAAGCTTTGCATTAGCTTTAAGGAAATTAATAAATGCAAATGTAAATGACAAGTCACTGGTGTGTTTGCTAAGAATTTGGAAGCCACTTGTCCTTTGTGTTACATGATGGAGGAATGGAGGGAGCCCTGGGGCTTGACCCATGGCAAGTAGCAGTTGTGGGAGTCCCCCTTGCAGTGATTTACTTTCAGTGTCTATCCATGCAGTTGCACCCAGGGGATCCTCAGAGTTCTGCAGGAGCCACCCGAGCCCTCAGGGATGTGGCAGTAGCAGCTCAGGAGAGAAAGCAGCTCCTTCCTGACCCCCTGGGCACAGACACAGGGTTGTCACGGTGTGGCCACACACTGTATGTTCCATGCCAGCTGCAGGGTTCAAACCAAAGCACTGCTTGGCTGTCATCACTAAAAAAACAAATGTTCCCACTATTCAGCTCACATTCAGTGACAGCTGTGGGTTCAGAGGTGTTCACTGGGTGTTGATCTCTTGCCTCTAATAGTTTTGGCCCCATTCTGAATGAAACCAGGTGACCCCTTGCACCAGGACTCTCTGTGGAGGTGTGTGCAGAGCCCTTGAGCAGCACCGTGCTGCTGGAAATGGGGTGTTAATCCACAGCAAGTGATTTGAGGCAACAGCAGCCTGCTCCAAGTCCCATTCTGCAGCTGATCTAAGGCTCTCTTGTTCCCTTTCCAGGGCTCATTTGTACAACCTTTTTTAAATAATGCTTCAAGGCCCTTTGTCCTTCAGGGATGGAAGGTTTTTAATCAGGCAAATTGTTCTGTTAGAAATGAAGCTGTCTTAAAAGTTAGCCCTTGGGGATAGGCTTTGTGCAGAGAGTCTTAGCTAAGATTTCTATAGAGTTTTCTGGATGGAAGGACTGCAGAGCAGAGGGTTTGCTAATAGGTCCAAGGTTGCAGAGGCTGAAGTCATTCAGTGTGTTTGGGTCTGTGGATCATACAGTGAGAGGAAGTCCCGGGGGCGGGGAGCACATGGGCTCAGTAAGAGCTGCAGCTTAGCTGGCCAGGGTGTTTGATAAGTCAGTCTTACAAGGTGTCTGTTTTAACCCACATTGTCTGTTTAGCTTGTAAATACTTAATTTTTCACAAGTGTGTGTTCAACATAGTTGGCTCCTGATCCCATTTGGAGTTCTTGGAATGGCTGAGGTGGAGGAGGGTGCTCTAGTCCAAGTTCTTCTACAGGGATGGATTACTACCACTCCAGGCTGACTTATTTTTTCTGTTTCCTCAGATTACCTGAACCCAGTGGAAGAGAACCCATTTGTTTCCCGCCGAAAGAATGGAGATCTCCAAGCTGTGGACAACCCAGAGTACCACAGTGCTCCCAACGGGCAGCCCAAAGCAGAGGACGAGTACGTGAACGAGCCATTGTACCTCAACACCTTCGCCAACACCTTGGAAAACGCCGAGTACCTGAAGAACAATTTGCCAGAGAAAGCCAAGAAGGCCTTTGACAACCCAGACTACTGGAACCACAGCCTGCCCCCACGGAGCACCCTCCAGCACCCGGACTACCTGCAAGAGTACAGCACAAAATACTTTTACAAACAGAATGGACGGATCCGGCCCATAGTGGCAGAGAATCCTGAATACCTCTCCGAGTTCTCCCTGAAGCCTGGCACTGTGCTGCCCCCGCCGCCCTACAGACACCGGAATACCGTGGTGTAGTGGCTGTGCTCTCACTGAAGTGGAAAGGCAACCCCTTCTAGCTGCCTCACTCGTACCCTCTCGCTCCCCCTTTCTCCCTGCCCTTGACCCTCCTTCCTCCCTCCCTCCCTCTCTTTCTCCCATGAGCTTCCTCTTCTTGCCAGTTCACTCATTTTTGATATTTCTAAGTGAAAGGATGTCTTGGAGTTGGTTGCAGATTGGGTTGGGAGCCTGGAAGGAAGGAAGGAAAGAGACTGAAAGAAGGATTGTACAACCTGGCCTTTCCCACTTTCGGCAGACGCGGGGGTTGGATGCCCAGAGAAGCCAGGTGGTACTAGGAAAGGCCAGTGGCAGTGCTGCTGTTGAGCTCATTCTCAGTGATTCAACTGTAGGGAAAGCCACAGAAAGGCTGATTCTTTCAGCAGGAACTGATGAGAGTCTGTACAGCATTCCTGGAAATCTCCATGCAATTTCCATCAGGGTGAAAAATGGACAATTTTTATATCCTGTGTGATAGCGTAGTAATTGAGATTGAGAATCCAATTTCTTTCTCTAACACTTTCTATCCCAGCAACTGAAAATGGCTAACATAGCTTTTCAAAAACATTCAGATCTTCATTGTGGCTTTCCAAGAAATGATGATGTGACTCCCACATACAGCTAAGCCCCTCTTCTGAGCCACTCCGTGATTTTGTGCCAATTCCCAGCCACAGAGACTCCTGCTCAGAACTGGTACCTGACATGACCATTTTTGTATGTGTGCCAACACAACAATCACTTTAAACACAAAGCACCTTTCAGAAGATAGTAACAAAACCACACCTCCGATATGTTCATTTGAAGCTAAAAACCAGGCCAAGAAATGAAGATTTGTATGCCAAAAGCTTTGCTTTCCTGTTTTATACCTGCTGACTATGAACACTTCAAAAGATTGTCGCTAATTCTTCCCTATCTTTTTTTCTTCATGGTCATGAAGGGAGCTGGGGATGCTGTCAGGCAACACTGAGGACAAGACAGAGAACTGAAGAGTTTGATGTTCTGTGGGGTGGGGTGGGAAGGGTCCTTTAAACTGGAAGACAGACACTGGACTGGAGAAAACGCACATAGCGGTTCACTGGAAAGTTAGTTTGCACTTAACCTCTGATTTTATTTGAACTGTTTTCTGGATTTTGAATGAAGCAATATGGAAGTGACCAGCAAAATACAAAATAATAATTTTAAATTAAAAAAGAAATATAAATTATTTGTAAAGGATGACTGTGGAAATGCCAAAATGAAGCAAATCAAGTCTTTGGAACAATGTCTGCCACTTCTGAGAGGCCGATGCAGTGACTGCTTCAGAGAATACAGTGAGAGAGCAGCCAGCTCTTCCTGCTGCTCTATGAAGGACAGCAGAGCAAGCCCTGGAAAGGATCAGGGGAGGCAAATGTCCTGCTCTGGCTCACAGCACAGTACAGAATATCATTTTTCTAAAAGGAGGATTACTCTGGCACAGAAGACAGTGCATATGAGGTTTGAGAAGTCAAAATGTGCATGATTTGCAGAGCTTTCTGTCAAAAATGTAAATAAGTATGAGTCAGTCTCCTTGCACTTAGTTCTGCTTTTATCAACCTCAGTTTTTAGGTAGACACCCCCTGACCTGCTCCTCTTTGGAAATCTCTTTCAAACCAGAGTTCTGGACGTTTTTAGTGATCTGGGGCAGATGGAGCTGGGAGAGGAGGTGCAAGGGCCCGAGACACCAAGGCTTGCTCCTGGCACACCAACACTGTGTGTGTAAGAGCATTTGTGAGCCTGCTTCCCACCAAACATCTTAAGGAACCTTTGGAGATCTTCCTGTCTCTATCCATCAAAGCTTTTAAAGGGAAGAAACCATACCTGGTGGATGGCAATCTTGGGTGATGCAACAGTGTTTAAGTTTATGAGCTCCAGCTCTGTTAGGGCTGAGATCTTTGGGGTGACCTAACCTGGCAACAAAACCAGCAGCAACCAGTGGTCTGGAAATGGCATCACCCTCCCCTAAAATCCTGCCATTCCAACAGCTTCCACCTTTAGTCTTGGGGAACATGAAGGGCGTAAGAAACAAGCAATAGCTACCTGAAGCTAATTAGTAGGTCAGCTTGACAAAGGTGTGAAAAGATGTTAAACCTGGCTTGGTTGTTAACCCTGTAGATGGAAAGCAAACTGTGACCACAAGGCTGGTTCAGCTGTTGGTGCACCAGGCGTGTCCAGGTGTGCATTGAGTACATAGCTGGAGGTTCTGAAAGCAGCAACAACAGGCACAGATCTTTGAGCTGGTAAAAGGAGATCTTGGGTCAAGTGGTACCGAGGTGGTTGGTGGTGATATGACCTGTCGTGGGATAGATGGATACAATCCTGCACTGAGCACTCTGGTGCCTCTGGTAGCTCCTCACCATCTTAGGGGACAGGGGCATGTGCTGGGGCACACGAGGGCCTGGGTGGCTGCTCCAGGGAAGGTTTGCCCACAGCATGCTCACAGGGTGTGCAGGCAGGGTCTGCCAGGCTGGGACAATGCTGCCAAGCTGCCTGGGGACAGACACCAGCACAGGAATGTGGGTGTCCTGTTTCAGCAGTACCACAGGTAGGTGGGGAAAGGTTAATTTGTCCCTGAACAGGTCTTGTAACAGAGTAACTCCTAATGGAGAAAAAATATAAAATAAAATGCTGGCATAGCTCACATGTTTGAATTCAGAGATGAGCTCAGAGGCTGCTGGGGCAGAGGCAGGCACACCTCCAGAGCCAGGCAGTGGGATGGAGCTGCTCACACAAGGTGAGGCCTGTTTGTTCCTCTGGTAATGAAGTAGTGCTCATGTTAGAAACAAGCCCATGGAGTAATCCAAATGTAAATACAGGTGGGGTTTAACAATTTAACGTTTTCTTTCTTACAAGGCTTGAATTATTTATTAATTTTATTTGTTGACTGTGGGTGTGCTATAATATATTAAGTAGCATGGAAATGCAGAGGTTCCTGCAGGTGGGACAGCAGGAAAGCTGGAACAGGAGCTTGGGCTCTGCCTGGCAGCCAGGATGAGCCACGCAGAGCCATGCTAGTGGGGTCTGGGATAGCAGAGGACAGGCAGAGGCTTCATGAACACAGTGATTCGGGATGAGGGAGAGCTCCACACACTGCAGCTTCTCAATTTAATATTTTTTTACTATTTTCTGAGCTTATGATTTGAGTTGCAGTTGCCAAAACTGACCCTTGAGTTTCCATGCTGTGCCAGTCACCCCTTGCCCAACAGATGGGCCTGTGTGGTGCTGAGGCTGCTGGTGATCCAACCCAGAGAGCAGCAGATATCTGAACCCTGCCCCTTTCCTCTGCAAGAGAAGTTCTGAGCTCAGCTGGCAGGTTTTGCCCCTTTGCAACAGATAGTTTAATCATGGCTAAAGAAAAAAGAAAGGAAAACTGAGAGCAGAACTGTTTGGCTGCTTTAATTCCAGCAGAAACTCCTGGCTGTCCCTAACTCATATAATTGCCCTACTGGGTATTGCTGCTGGCTTGGGGAAAGTACTTGGGCAAATGCACATGGCAAAATCATGGCAAGCATTCAGCTGGGATTCATATGGGATGAAAGATGAGAGCCGTGGTCTTTAATGCAGGTTTGGGGGGAAAGCACATATATTCACACACAAACTGCATTTTGTCAGCACAAAGCAGCAGGTGAGGATACCAACAGAATGTGATTCACTCTCTAGTGCTACAGAGGTATCTGGTTAGGTTTTCTGGGGTTTAGAATGCAATCTCCTGTTTATAAATGTTCTGTTTCCTCCTGTCATGGCCCATGTCACAGGATAGCAGTGACCAACTTTTCAAGAGCACGTTTTTACCTGAGTGTGGATCAGCCATTATCCAAGGCACAAAGCAACCTGTTAAAGGAAAGAGAACAACATTTATTATTTCCTCCTGATCTCTTTCAGTGTCACTTGTCCTAGCTGTTATTACCTACCTGAGGGTTACTGCAAGCAGATGCTGGGGCCAATTGACTCACTGTAACATAATTGGCTGAAACCAACTCCTTTTACATTTACTTCTTCAGATCTTTTCAGATTTTTCTTTTTCTGCAAAACAGCCAGGAGGGATTTTTTTTACATGGCCATTGGCTCAGATGTAGCAGAGTATTTAAACTATATTTCAAACACGTTATCTCTCTCAGGTAGCAAGAGATGGAAATGAATCTGCAATAGGAGCCACCATGTAGGTCTGTTTGAGGTACCCTGAAATCCTTTTCTGTGTACAAAGAAATGCTGTATTACCCCTGGATGTACCACGTAGTTGGTAGAAAATGTGCTTCTTGACTGCAAGGCTCATATGCAATGATCTGACACCTGTTTCCACTAAAGATCTCACCCTCAGCCACCACCAAGCCTGGCCCAGGAGGAAGGGAAATAGCAGCTCTGGAAGAGCAGCTCAGCCCTGACTCTGTGGATCCACTCTTTCCATAGCTTTTAGGTAGAGCTGGGCAGCACAGGGGAGAAGTATGAGTTGTGAGGTGAGTCAGCCTAGAAATACAGCTTGGTTTTGGGGATGGAAAATCAAATACTAAAGAAAAAGATCTATTTTTGTCTAATGGTGTCTGTGTAGGTGTTGCACATCATGGTGGCAGCTAACAGAATGATGTATGGGATTGAGTTCCTTTATTCCATCTGGGAGATGTGGAGACAAGGCAGGATGAGGATGTTGGTCATGTAATTCCCCAGGATAACTGGAGGCATCCCCATGGGCTGTGCTTCCCTGGCAGCCCAGGAACCCTGGGCAGGCATGTCCTTACAGAAGGGACAGCCCCCACAGGGACACACAGGGACACTCCCACTGCAGCCTGCCAGCCCTGCAGGGAAGAAGGAATGGGAGCACCAGAGGTGCCCTGGGTGGTTCCCATGAGTCAGGGTTGGCTGCTCCCACCCTGGCTCCCAAGTGAATTATGGAGCTCAGACAGGTGTTTACATGCTTGGAAGGATGCTTGGCTTGAGGGTGGCTGGTGAAACAGAGGCTTTAGAATAATGGGAGCCAGGCCTGCAGTTTTCAGTCACCTCAAGGTTGGCTGCTCCCACCCTGCCTTCCCAAGTGCATTTCAGAACTGTGGAGCTCAGACAGGTGTTTCCATGCTTGGAAGGATGCTTGGCTTGAGGGTGGCTGGTGAAACAGAGGCTTTAGAATAATGGGAGCCAGGCCTGCAGTTTTCAGTCACCCCTTTGGTGGCACCTCAGAGGGGATGATGTCACCACAATGTCTCTTTGGCAAGGATTTTTCAAAAGGAAAGACATGAAGTCTCTGCACCTGCTCATTTCCAGCTGTCACTTGCTGTGGTCTCACTCCCGTGGATCTTCACCTCTGCTGCTGACAAAACAGCTCATCTGGGGTTTGCAATGTCCCTTTGGCAAGAATTTTTCAAAAGGTGGTGGCACATGAAGTCTCTGCACCTGCTCATTTCCAGCTGTCACTTGCTGTGGTCTCACTCCCGTGGATCTTCACCTCTGCTGCTGACAAAACAGCTCATTTGTGATTATGCAAAAATCTTGGATTTGGGTTCAGATTGTTTTTCTAGGTAGGGTGGCTGGCTCTAGTACTTATGTCCATCAAGCAGGGAGCTGCAGTTGTCCCACAGAGTAGCCTCAGTGAAGCACCATTGTCTGTGCAGGATTCCCTCTCTTTTATTTTCTGCCTGTTGCTAAGCATTTCTTATAAAGGTGGAAAAGGTCACTGTTACAAATGAGGCTTTCAGACTGGAAACAAATAACAAAAATAAAGCTATGTGGTTAGAAGCACCACTCTAAAATGTCCAAAAATCACGTCTCCATGTTAGTTCTAATGTTATTTTAGTACAATTTTGTTTTGCCACTGTGTGGATTGGTGGTTTGTTCCAATGGTAGGCTCCTTGCTCTTGAGGAGAGGCTGAGGTTGGTGCTGCTGCAGTGATGGCTGGGATCTTCCTGTAAGTTTGGACAATGCAGAGCACTTTTTAGGGAACTCTGTGGTTGTTCAGGTCTGACTGATGGTGGTGGGACTCAGTGGAGATTGAACTGTGGCCAGTCTCATCTCCTAACCAGAGCCAGAGGGACACCTTCTGCCCAGGGTGTCCTCCAGATGGGGTCTGGGGCAGCAATACAAGAAAAAGTGTGAGGGGGAAGCCCAAGGACATCCCAATAGTGGAATCAAAGCTGGATTATTTTAAATTTTTCTTATTATAGATGAGCTTTGTGGACCTTGGCAGAGAGAGGTTTTAAGGGGAGTTTTGTGAGGTGTTAGGCAGTGTGAGTAGTTCTGTCCCAGTTCTTCTCCCCTCACCAATAAAAAAGCCATGAAATCACGCTCCAGCAGTGTTGTGGATGACCCCTTCACCTGCTGTGAAGGTGCATCCTGCCCAGCACCCTCAGGCTGCTGGCTCAGGTGTGACCAGGGCCACAGGGACAGGAGCCACGGGCTGTCACTGAGCACCATTTGCCAGCAGTTTGGTCCCCAGCCCAACCTTTGAGCTCTCCTACGGGGGAAACACTGTATTGTCCATAGCACTCTGAAGACTAAACCCTTTTGGGATAACCACAGTAGGGAACTGTGACTGGTATTTTCTAAGTGTAGATATGTATGCTGTTCTTTCGAGGTAAGGTACTCTGACATATGTAGCATAAACTGGTCCTGCTGTTAAATGGGTCGATTATTAACTGAGCAGCTGTGTAGGGGGTAGCTAACTTTGAATGCATGAAATCACTGTTCCTCTGGATCTGGGATGGGAGGTAGGTACTGGCTGCTTGTGGGGGTACTTAGGGTGGGGTAATGCAAGAGGGAAATGCAGGTGAGTGAGAAAACTGGGAATTTTTTTATAGCATTTTAAAGATGGAAATCGGTACCTATTTGATACATTATTCACAATTGTTTTAATCCCTTCTTTTGCCCAGTTTTTGCTACTTCCCCAATATTGTAAGCTGGAATTGCTAAACAGGTATCAGGGAAGGGAAACTGAGGGGAAAAGAAGTCTCTTTCTAAGAACAGAGATAGCCAAATTTCATTTCCTGACCTGGTGGTCTTGAACCACTGACTTTTCAGAAGAGGCTCCAATTCAGGCCCGGGGTATGACATTACTGTCCCCTTGGAATCAAAGGCTCCCACCTGGCAGGTGACACTGGGGCAGCACTGAGCTCCTGGTGACTCCTGATGATGCTGCCTGCATGGCCCAGCCCGGAGGAACCAGCAGCACACACGGGTGGGATGGTCTGGGTTCCTGTCAATCCTCCACCTTCTGGAAGAGCCACAACATCAAACAACAATGCTTCTGCCTTATGAAGTACCTTCAGAAGAAGAGAAGTGTCAGCAAGTTGGGGAAGACACTCATTTCTTGCAAAGTGATGCATTCAGAGTTAGCTGCCTTTCTGAAACAAAAAAAAAAAAGAAATTCAATACCTACTGTATGTTACTTTGAAAATGTGAATAGTATTTTTATAGCTTGTTAAAGACACAGCTAGTTGCATTTGTAAATAAGGATAATGTTGCTTTTATTTTCCTTGTGGACACCATTGTTTGGAACATAATTGTCCTTAGGGTTGATTTGTATATAGGTAATTTGCTTGTGATTTAAGCCGCTCCTCCCCTTTCCTTTCTGTCCCTTCCCACCCTCTGGTTTTGGTTAGAGGTACCATTTTCAGCATTCTGTGTGATTCCGTGTTTTAGCACTGTTGTGGTGTGTTCAGACTTTCTGCACTTGCTTACACAGTAGGGTATGCCAATCGTGTGTGGCGTAATGTTACTTTAACCTTTCCTTTCTCATATTTTAGCTGTTGGGAATTATACACTGTTAAAATAATTACTGACCTGGGTTAATATTAGGTACATATTTTAGCATAATTTCCCTTCTTTTCATGGTTTCTTGGGTTTTTTCTTTTTGTTTTTTCCTTTCCCTATCCTTTTGTCTTGTTTGGAAGCTGGGAAGAAACCTGTGGATCTTCTCTTTGTGTGGTTCTATTCCCCACTCCCGTGTGCAGCCCAGAGTTTCTCCTCATGGTCCTTGGGGTAGAGCTTTATCTGTTTGTTAAGGCAAATGTAGACTGCGACCCACCTTGCATCAACCCACGCTCATCCCAGCTGAACAATTTGAAAACTGTTCTGCCTTTTTGTTACATGAATCTGTCAGAAATATATTTTTAATTTAATATAAATGAAATTCAATAAAATATGAAACAAAGTCTCTGTGCATAAGTGAAATCTCTTGGAAGGTGGCTTGGGTGCTGCCAGTGCCACAGAGTCCGTGGAAAGCCCTGGCATGGCCCTGAACTGGACCCTACACACCCACCCCAGCAATCCCAGGGTTGTGCAGTTCTGAGCTTTTCATTCCTTTTAAAACAAACCACAGCCCATGGAGGTGTTGGTGCCCATGCCCTGTGCCCCAGCTCACTCACTGGGTGTCCAGTTGCAGCTCCTTCACCCCCAGCTGTCCTGGCTCAGCTGGGTTGATTTATCTGCCCAGCTTCTTTGCTGGAGGGGTAGAGGGTGGTGTGGGGAAATGATTCCTGTGTGTATTTAGACACAGTGCACACATTAAATCTAACCCAAGAACCACATACCCCATTATGCCAACAGGCACCCTCTGGGTGTGCACCCCACATCTACGTGCCTTCATCTCACACCCAGCACCAGAGTTTGGCCAGGGCTGGCTCTGCCTTTGTCAGCTGCACCTTTAAATCAAGTTGGAAAACACATTGGAGGTGCTTGCCATGCTCTCAGAGTGAATTAAAAGATTCCCTTCCCAGGAGCTGCCAGGTGCTCTCTGTGCAATGCTCACTCTGTGGCTCGTTTCAAACCCATAATTCACACACAGACCTGTGAGATTTCACTGAGCCATTCCCTGCCAGTGCCGCAGGTTAATTCCCATGGGGGCTGGCACACAGCTGGTCCCAGTGTCCCCAGTCTGCCTCGCTGGCTGCTGAGCATTGCTCCCATTGCCAGGCCTCTGGAAGGCATTTTACATTCACCTAGAAAGCCGTAAAGGTCATGTGGCTCTTTGAGGCACATTCTAAAACACTCCAGTCTCCCTGGATTGCAACTCTTTGTTTCACGAATGGCCTCAACATTTTCTCCCCAGCAGCCTGGAAAGGTCATTGCAGACACACACAATGTTCAGGGCTGGAATCCTGGAGCATTCCCCACACAATGCTGAGAGCTGAATCCTGGAGCATTCCCCACACAATGCTCAGGGCTGGAATCCTGGAGCATCCCCCACACAATTCTCAGAGCTGAATCCTGTAGCATTCCCCACACAATGCTCAGAGCTGGAATCCTGGAACATTCCCCACACAATGCTCAGAGCTGGAACCCTGGAGCATTCCCCACACAATGCTCAGGGCTGGAATCCTGGAGCATTCCCGGCTGCCTCCAGGGAGCAGGAAGACAAGCTGTGTGTAACACCACTCACTCAGAGTGGGTTAGGGTAATGGAATTAAGCATTCCCACTTCAGAGCTGTCAGGAATATAAGGTCTGTTTTCCATAGGAGGGGAAGGGGAAGTGAAAGAGCCCTGTTGCAAGCCCACCCTTCCATGTCCAGCCACACACCACAGGGCTGGAGCACACCCAGGGACACACACACACACACACAGGTGGAGCCCCAGTGCCTGGTGCAGGGATTTGGCATCACTGAGATCCTCACAATAAAACAGGGTGTGATAGAACTCCAGAAATGCTACAGAAATGAGCAACACAAGTTTTAAGACTCATGCAAACACACACCTCTGTTCCCCAAGTGGGTTTTACTTAACTGGCCAAAATACGAAGGAAAGAGTAAATCAATCACTTACTTGCTAGTGAAATATATTAATTTAAAGCCCTCTGCTACTCATTCAGGGTAGCTTGGCAAAGGCCATGGGGTTCAGGTGTTTAAAGTGGCACTGGAAAGCACAGTCCAGCTTTTGCAAGCAGTTTCATGCTGTGTTACTGGAGGTGAAGTTCTTGTACCCTCACACGTCAGTCTGGCCCATGGCTGCTCTGTTACTGAGGTTTGCAGAGGCAATACTGGCCAGCTGGCACATTTTGTC